ACCCTAAACCCTAAACCCTAAACCCTAAACCCTAAACCCTAAACCCCAAACCCTAAACCCTAAACCAGACCGACACCTTGCAGCCCTTCTGGGCGAAACGAGTTGGTTGTGGCCGCGGGAGTTCCTCCTGCGGAGGGAGGAGGTGTTTGGCGTTTAGTGTTTGCAGGGTTTAGGGCTTGTAGGGTTTAGGGTTTAGGGTGTAGGGTTTAGGGTTTCGGGTTTTGGATTCAGGGTTTCGGGTTTCGGTTTTAGGGTTTCGGGTCTAGGGTAATCAGGGCTTTAGGGTGGTATTTTGCGCGGGGGCTTTAGGGATGCAGGCGTTTAGGGAGTCAGGGCGTCAGGGGTTGGGGTTTTAGGGCTTAGGGTTTAGGGTTCAGGGTTCAGGGTTCAGGGTTTAGGGTTTAGGGTTTCGGGTTTCGGGTTTCGGGTTTCGGGTTTCGGGTTTAGGGTTGAGGGTTGAGGGTTGAGGGTTTAGGGTTTAGGGTTTAGGGTTTAGGGTTTAGGGTTTAGGGTTTAGGGTTTAGGGTTTAGGGTTTAGGGTTTAGGGTTTAGGGTTGAGGGTTGAGGGTTGAGGGTTGAGGGTTTAGGGTTGAGGGTTTAGGGTTTAGGGTTTAGGGTTTAGGGTTTAGGGTTTAGGGTTTAGGGCCCAGGCGGAAGCGTTGGGCTGGATATGGCCGGGTTCAGGTTGTTTTTGTTTTTTTTTTGGGGGGAGGGGGGGGGCTTAGGGCCTTTTGGGGTTTTGAGGCTTTCAAAGGGCTTTGGGGGCTTAGGGCCTTAGGCCTCAAGGGGTTTAGGGCCTTTGGGGTTCTGGGGTTTTGGATGTGCGGGTTTAGGGTTTATGGGCTCATGGATGTAGGGTTTGGGTCTGGGGTTTTGGCTGAATTCGGCTTGGGGCCTACAAGGTTTACCCAGGCCTCCGAGAAAGGAAAGGTCAGGGTTTGGGTTTAGGGTTTAGGGAGACTAGAAAGACATGCAGTGGTGAGAGCTTATGGTCACAGCGTATCCTGGGTGCGCGATGTAGCAAAACCGAGGGGTTCTTATTTTTTCACACGCACCAGTACACTTCCGAATGACAAGCTTGCAAGAAGTGAGTGATCACACTACTCGGTATGGAACTGCACCAAACACGAGCAGCTCCAACCCTTAATTAACCCTAAACAAGTGAAGTCCTCAATGCTGAACCCTATGGGGTTGAGAGTTTAGGGATTAGGGTTTAGGGTCTCGGGTTTAGGGTTTGTGTTTTAAGATTTTATGACTTGCATGCAGCTATGCTCTAAGAAACCCATTTCTGGTCATGAGGGCCCCAGTGTTACACCCTCGAGGCCCGGGTTTCGGGATTTGGGGTAGGGTTCAAGTACAACAGACATGCGAGATAACCGACGATTATTACCGGGAAATTCGCACAGGAACCCTAAACCCTCAGCATGAAAGCGGTCACGCCTGTTGGAAACAACACCCGCTATCAAAACTGCACCAGGTGCTGCAAGTGCCAGCGGCACACCTCGGGGCTTGCATTTAGGGCTTTAGGGTCTTTCTTCGGGGGTCCACCCCAAACCCTAAACCCGAAACCTGAAACCCAAAAACATTATGGATTTTCAGTTTCAGGGTGTTAGGATTCAGGGCCGAAGTTTTCGAGTTTTGGAGGGCATTCGGGCCTGGGATTTGGGAATTTGTTGCACACACAGGGGCTTATAGGGTAGGGTTTAGGGCTTAGGGTTTAGGGGTGCTTCGGGCGTGGGGTCTTAAGCTGCTAAACCCGTAACCCCTACAACAAGTTCCGCGGACCCGAAACCATTGAACCCCTAGCGCCCTCGAAAAATACAGGCATCCAGATTCAGACGAGCAGTTCTGGGAATTGTGGTAATTTAGATGCTTGCAAACAAAGCAGTGTCTTCGAAGACCTGAAGCCTAGTAATTCCTGAACCTGACACCCTAAAGCCCTAAAGCCCTAAAGCCCTAAAACCCTAAACCCTAAACCCTCAACCCTAAACCCTAAACCCTAAACCCTAAACCCTAAACCCTAAACCCTAAACCCTAAACCCTAAACCCTAAACCCTAAACCCTAACCCTAAACCCTCAACCCTAAACCCTAAACCATAAGCCCGAAACCCCCCAGCGGGACCTCGCTCGGGAGCCCCATGCACGGCCCTTCCTGGCTTCGAGGCGAGCCTGACCCCAACCAACGCGCGTGCCATGGGGGCTGGGGGTTTAGGGTTGAGGGTTTAGGGTTTAGGGTTTAGGGATAAGGGTTTAGGGTTTCGGGTTTAGGGTTCAGGGTTTAGGGTTCAGGGTTCAGGGTTCAGGGTTCAGGGTTCAGGGTTCAGGGTTCAGGGTTCAGGGTTCAGGGTTTAGGGTTTAGGGTTTAGGGTTTAGGGTTTAGGGTTTAGGGTTTAGGGTTTAGGGTTTAGGGTTTAGGGTTTAGGGTTTAGGGTTTAGGGTGTTCAGAAACTTGGGGCTTGGGGCACTTCCAGGAGCTTTAGGGGTTTGGTGGCGCTTCTGGGGATGATGCGGCTGGAGCACGCAAGGGTTTAGGATGCATTGTAGGGTTTAGGGTTTAGGGTTTAGGGTTTAGGGTTTAGGGTTTGGGGTTTAGGGTTTAGGGTTTCGGGTTTAGGGTTTAGGGTTGCGGGTTTCGGGTTTCGGGATTCGGGTTTCGGGTTTCGGGTTTAGGGTTTAGGGTTTAGGGTTTAGGGTTTAGGGTTTAGGGTTTAGGGTTTAGGGTTTAGGGTTTAGGGTTTAGGGTTTAGGGTTTAGGGTTTAAGATCTCCATGTCCTCTACCCCTCTGTGGGCAAGCCCACCTGGCAATTAGCGCAGGCGCGGGCGCCCCAACGGCAAATGCCTTGAAGAGAGGGCACCGGGGGTTTAGCGTTCAAAGACTTGAGGGGTTCGGGTGTAGGGTTTAGGGGGTTTGGGGTTTAGGGCTTAGGGTTTAGGGTTAATTCGGGGAGTTTGGGCTCAGGGTTCAAGGTTCCAATGACACATCCGCGTTTCTGACAAAGTGACTCAAGTCCTGCCTCTTGCCGTAAGTCCGATACGAATTTGGGAGCCTGTCTCAAGGAACCCCTTCAGCTAAACCCTAAGCCCTAAGCCCTAAGCCCTAAACCCTAAACCCTAAACCCTAAACCCTAAACCCTAAACCCCTAGAAGAGCAGCCCTGGCCTCCGTCATGGACGGCATGGTGGCCACAGCAGTGTCAAACTGAGCTACGAAGCCCTCTGCTGCACGGCGACACTTCTGAAGACCCTAAACTCTAAACCCTAAACCCTAAACCCTAAACCCTAAACCCTAAACCCAAAGACTACTTTGGCCAATTGCAGTTCTCCTGCATCTGCATGGGCTGTGTTCGCAGCACGCTCTTGGGTGCAGGTGTGGACGGCTTGGCGCTTGCAAAGTCATGTCACATGTTCTGTGTATGTCTTTGCTTGAACCAATAGGTTTTGGATTCAGCGTTAGGGTTTAGGGCTTGGGGTTTAGGAAGGGTTTAGGGTGTAGGGCTTAGGGTGTAGGATTTAGGGTTTCGGGTTTAGGGTTTAGGGCTTAGGGTTTAGGGTTTAGGGTTTAGGGTTTCGGGTTTTGGGTTTAGGGTGTACGGTTCAGAACAGGCCGCCCTGAATTGCGCTGAAGAAGAGATCTGCTGACTCGGCTGCCAGCAGTCGCGTCCTGAAGCCTTAGACCTTTAGAGCCCAAATCCCACATGAAAAAATGGGTTTGGGGTTTAGGGTTTAGGGTTTAGGTCTTGGGTTTAGGGCTTAGGGCTTAGGGTTTAGGGTTTAGGGTTTAGGGTTTAGGGTTTAGGGTTTAGGGTTTAGGGCTTAGGGCTTAGGGCTTAGGGCTTAGGGTTTAGAATTTCAATCGAGTGTTTGGGGTTTAGGGTTTAGGTCACCCCAAGTCATCCTAAGCCACAAGCCACAAAACCCACAGCCTTAAGCCCCAGAGCTGGATGCCACCGGTCCACAACTCCCAACGCGCACCCGCCCCCTTCTTGATGCCAGTCCATGGGCCCGAAACACTAAACCCCAAACCCAAAACCCTAAACCCCAAACCCCAAACCCTAAACCCCAAACCCCAAACCCCAAACCCTAAACCCCCAAACCCCAAACCCCCAAACCCCCAAACCCCCAAACCCCCAAACCCCCAAACCCCCAAACCCCAAACCCTAAACCTCAAAAACCGCAAACCCCCCTAAACCCCAAACCCCAAACCCTAAACCCCAAACCCTAAACCCCAAACCCCAAACCCTAAACCCTAAACCCTAAACCTCAAACCCCAAAAACCCCAAACGCCGTCATTGACGGCCCCAGTGTTTGGAGGGATTTCAGAGTTTGAGGGTTTAGGGTTTAGGGTTTACGGTTTAGGGTTTAGGGCTTAAGGGGTTTACTGCTCTGTGCTTAAGAAAAACCCAAAGCATGAAGTTATTCTTTCTTATGAGGGTAAAGTAGTCACATTACCATCTTGCATGTTTTGGGGGTTCTTAAGCACTCCGAATTGGGATGCGCCCCTATGACAATCCCTACTAAGGACTGTTAGTATAAGGGGCAACTCCCAAGTTTTAAGGTTCGGGGTTTTTACGATAGGGCTTGGCTGCATCAGTGCTAAACCCTAAGCCAGGGAAACTCCGGAAACCCTGGAAACCCTGTCGCACTAGGCGACTTGGAGAGTTGGGGTTCAGGGTTAAGGGTTTGGGGTTTTGGGATGTGGGGTTTAGGGTTGAAAATAGGGATTTAGGAGGATGTGGGGTTCAGAGTTGCCTCTCTGAACGCAGCAGACACGCTCAACCCCATAACCCCAAAGCCCCACATCTGGGACAACAGTCTCGGTCCCACCACCGCAAATTGAAACGCGAGAGGAAAAACCCCCCAATGGCCCTGAAGCCCCCCCGCCCCCCCCCCGCCCCCCCAAAAAAAAAAAGAACATGGTGCTTACGGCCCTTCTCTCCATCCTCACACATCACCAGTTGATCACTTGGGTTTAGGTTCTTGGGTGCCCTAAACCCTGAACCCTAAACCCTAAACCCTAAGCCCTCAGCCCTAAACCCTAAACCCTTAACCCGAAAGTTACTATGTATCCCCGCACCGACCTTGGGTCTCTTCGCTTTCCTCGCCACATCGGTCAGCTCTTCCATCAGCGCAGCCCAGAATGGTACCACCTCGCGTGTTGCCAAGGCCGTCTCCTGCTTCATCTCCTGTGACATCCTTGGCAGCCCAATAGCCTTATTACGAGAAGGGCACCCTTTTTTGGGGGGGTTGGTTGCTTTGTGTAAGGGAACCTTGAACCAAAAAAATAGAAAGTGAAGGGTACCACTAGGCTACCAAGCGTCTTCTCCAAGTCGTAGGCACCGGTGCTCAGCGACCAGATCAGCTGTGGGATCGAGGCAAAAACCTGAACCCCGGGCATCTCAATAAAGGCATAACTCTGAGCCCAGTAGAGCATTGTTGGAAAATCTCGGGCCATGTGATCCAACGACGGGTATGGAGTTGGACCACTTGGATGACCCGAATCTGGCAGATGGAGCTGCTGATGCAAGTTGGGGTGGCTCCGGCCGTAGCTGGTCATCTGCTTTGGCCAAAGCCTTGCTAGCCACAAGCTGTCTGGAACAAACAACGGCATGTTCATAGCGTAGAGCTCGTGGAACGTGGTCACGGCAATGTTCCAGGGAATCAGCACAGTTGCACGGAACCTAGCAACCTCTTCAAACAAGTAGCCATGCACCACGTCGCGGTCGCCAGCTGGCAAGCGCATCTGCCATCGGCGCGCCAGACTTTTCATTCGATGCTGTGCCTCACGGAAGAGGCCACGGCAGCTGTGGGACATCATAAGCCGCGTCCTGGCACAAAGCACCAGCACGGTGGAGCTGTTGGGACGGTATTGGACACCCACGTAACTTGCCAAAGGCCGCACACAGGGAACCTGCCGGCCTGTGTGGTACTGGATACTGGTGGCAAGGTAAGGTGATTGGGCGACCAGAGCAACTGTACCAGTTGCGTGCTGCAGGCCTCCAAGTCGTAAGACATCGTGACTGATGAGCTCATGAAATTGCTTCAGCAGCACCTGGGACGCATAGTCACTCATAGCCTCGTCCTGCATGAAGATGATGCCCGGATAGTAGATGGTCGCCACAGACTGCTGCAGAGACCGAGCCACCTTCCACAAGAAATACGCGTCGCGCAGCTCCATACATATCAGCAGGTCAGCCTGCAAACCTGATCTTGTCTCAGCATCCCAGAAGTCCCTGTAGGCCTCTTCCACTTCGGCCACGTCAGCCTCGGACCTAATTCATGGTTGGGATGACCTTAAAAACTTTATATTCCTTATTGGGTTTGAGCACCCTTAACAGTGCAAAATGGTACCCAACTATGACAAAGGGACATGTAGGTCTTGTATCTCAACTTGGCGGGCACGGGCTTCCGCGGGTCCCTCTTGTGGCAAAGCGTGAAGAAAGCACAGTCTCGATCACTGACTCCGAACCAATGCAGGCGCAGGGCCTCCAGGGACCAGAGGGCCGAAAAAGGCTCAATCAGCACCGGGTGATAGCCATAAACAACCACTTCGGGCTTCCGCTCCTGAAGCCTCATCGACGACTGCTCCAACGAGGGGTAGCTCTTTCCCTCCTCCCAACATCTCAAGGGGTCGACTGCCGGCGGGCCTTGACCTGGGGGTTTCCGAAAATAGGGGGGTACCCTGTTTGGGGGTTTCTTTTTTTGGGAGTAGAGTATTTGGGGGTATGTTAGGGGAACGCCCCTTTTTTGGGAGATGCCCACCTGCTGCTCGCTGGATTGGGGCGGTGGCTTTGGCGACGGGCGATCCCTGCAACTTGGCCAAGGACAGCAAGATGTTGGCGGACCGGGGCCAGTCCGTGGACTCCATGAAGTCCAGCCCCAGCTCCTTGCCCAGAAACTGCAGGGCCATCTCCCAGTCGGCTGCGGCCGCCTCGGCCTCACCTTGGGCCAGCAGCTCCTGCCCTCGGATGTAGAGGGCCGCCACCACCCCGTAGACGCAGTCTTGCGCACGCCGCCGGCTCTGGGTCAGGCCGGGCTCAGCCAAGACGGCCACGAAGTTCCCGATGTCCAGCGAGGCAAAGTGCTCCACCAAGAGGGTATCTGCCAAGGCCCCGAGCTCCGCAAGGCTCTGCCGGGTGTCTGGCCCTGAGAAGTCAAGGAGGCCCGAGCCATCCGCAGATTTGAACCTTCGTTCCAGCAAAGCTTCGCGAAAGTCGCTCCAGGACTTGTGCCCATCACAGTTCAAGTAAGGAAATACGTCGTTTCGTCTTGCGACCGACAAATGCCACAGGACTGCAAATTCTAGCAGAACTCTGAGCATGAAGCATCTGTCTGGACGAGGACAAAACCTTTTGGCACACTTTGGCGTCCAAAGAAACTGGAGCCAGGGCCAAATGCATCCAAATACGACAATGCTATAACTTGCATCAGGATGCAGCAAGCCTTGCGATCCCTCAATTTGTGCTTCTTGTGACACCAAGCCCTAAATCCTAAACCCTAAACCCTAAACCCTAAACTCCTAAACCCTAAACCCCTAATCCCTAAACCTTAAACCCTAAACCCTAAACCCTAAACCCTAAACCCTAAACCCTAAACCCTAAACCCTAAACCCTAAACCGGTCCTGGAGATGCTGCTACCTGTCAAGACAACGTGCCAGCAGAGACTTGTCCATGAGTTTCCATCCTCTTGCGGTTTAGGGCCTAGGGTTTAGGTCCTTTAGGGTTTAGGGTTTAGGGTTTAGGGATTTAGGGTTTACGGTGTAGGGTTTGGGGTTTAGGGCCTAGAGTTTAGGGTGTAGGCGTTAGGGTTTAGGGTCTGCTGTAGTAGGGCGCAGATGCTGTGAAGGTTAGGGTGCCTTCGTTAGGAGCAAAGAGCAGGTCTGGTCCGATTGTTCAAGTCAATAGCCTACTTCCAAGAAACCTCTTCCGTTGCTGATGGTATGTCAGGCCGGTTCAAGAGGGTCAGTCCAGATCGCTTGTAGGCGGAGCCTAAGCCCTAAACCCTAAACCCTAAACCCTAAACCCTAAACCCTAAACCCTAAACCCTAAACCCTAAACCCTAAACCCTAAACCCTAAACCCTAAACCCTAAACCCTAAACCCTAAACCCTAACCCTACCTCACATGATGTTTGTTCATGATTGCCCGTTCCTCTGTGGCAGTGAAACGATCAACTCCTGGTCGCCTCAGCCAAAGCTTTGCACCTGCGAGGCCAAACGTGCGTTTTGAGGGTTTAGGGTTTAGGGTTTAGGGTTTAGGGTTTAGGGTTTGGGGTTTGGGGCTGGGGTTTGGGGTTTAGTGTTTAGGGACTAGGGCTCAGGGTTCAACATTTTTGGGTTTACAGTTTCAGGCGCGATGAAGAGCTGCAAAGTCTGAAGTGCCATGGCAAATCTTTAGTGGAAATGATGAAGGATCATAGTAGCACACGCCAAACATACAGCACGGCTGATTGGTAGCTCAAAAAACATGGGTGCGGGGTTCTCCCACACCCCACACTCGAAAACCCTCAAGCCCAAAGCAGCTGGCTGCATAGGCCCAGCTTCTCACTTTTGAACAATAGGCGTGGGGGAGATCTCTCCCTTGTTCTGCTATCTCGCTCTATGGCTGTCTCGCTCTCTGGCTCTCTCGCTCAAGCGCTCAATCGCTCAATCGCTCAATCGCTCAATCGCTCAATCGCTCAATCGCTCTCGCTCTCTCGCTCTCCAGCCCTCTCTCCCTCTCGAACTTCTTCTTCTTCCTTGTCTTGTTCTTCTTCCTGTTTTTCTTCTGCCTCTTTTTCTTTCTTCTTCTTCTTCTTCTTCTTCTTATTCTTCTTCTTCGTCTTCTTCGTCTTCTTTTTCTTCTGCCGGGATTCGGGGTTCGTCAATTCCAGGAACTAAAGCCCAATCCGGCGGAAGCGTCGGCCTGTTCCCGCAACGGCCCCGGCGGCCGAAGGCAATCGGCATCACTTTGTCTTCCTCGCATGTGCAAGGAGAGAACCATGTGGGTATGTCCCAAAATAGGGGTACCCCTTTTCAGCCCAAGCAGAACAGAAGCCCCTTAAAAAGGACCCCCAAAAAGGTACTCTTTTTTTCGGAAACCCCCATGTCAGTTCTGGCTCCGGGTTTAGCAGTTCGAGTTTCGCCTGCATTGTACTCCATCGCGGGACTCCTTCTGCACTTATCCTGCCAGAACCCGGCGGCTTTCGCGATCTCATACTTCACGCTGCAAAACGGCCTAGTGCCTGGAACCATCAACCTGAAACCCAACCACCCTAGACGCCGCAAACCCGAAGACCCTCAACCCCAGCAGTGTAACAACCACCACCACCGCCGCCGCCGCCACCATTTCCGCGGAAATTCAAGCCACAAAGAAAACCACAAAAAATCAGAAACGATTCAAAAACGATCAAAAAAATCTGGAAAACAACAGAAAATTTCAAAAACAGTCAAAACCAACAGAAAAAAAGCCAAGAAATACAGCCAAGAACCTCAGAGGCAAGCGTAAGAGCAAAACCGGCGATTGATTGTTTTCTGAAGATTGTTTGAATCTGGCCCGGGGCCGAATCTGAAAATAATCTGAAAAGCAACTGCATCTTTATTATTTCAGCAAGACCCCATCTTATCAGGACCGGTTATCTTAACCCTAAACGCTCTGAGCCCGAAGCCCTAAACCCTAAACCCTACGAATTACCTTGACAGGCATCTTGGGATCATTCAGGTCCCCCAGGTCCTCTTCTTGCGCGCGGCAGGAGCAGCCTCCTAGCCACACCCGACCACGACCACGGCTCTGGGGCTTCCAGGGGTTTTCAGGGGGCTTCTAGGGGGTTTTTAGGGGGCTTGTAGGCGTTTTACGAGGGCTTCTAGGGGTTTTGAGTGGGCTTCTAGGGTTTTCAATGGGCTTCGCTCTAGGGGGTAGAGCTTAGGTTTTGGAATGTTTCACTTTGTTTGTTTGAGGGCTTTCAGGGCTGGTCTAAACTTTTTGGATAGCTTTAGGAGTGTAGTGTAGGGTGCAGGGTTTTAAGAGCTTTTCTTCATGGTTGGGGTGCTGATCTCAAGCATTGGAGTTGAAGAGAAAAACTATGGGCCGCGGCTATGGGCGGGGACTAGCTGACTGCTCAGGGACATGGAGGAGAAGAGAAAGGCTGCTGCCATCTCTGGTTAGGGTTCAGGGTTTTGGGGGTTAGGGTTTAAGTGTGCAAACCTTATGTGCTTTGGGCGAACGTCCCCGTCTTGCATCCAGCTTGGTCTCCTCTTCAGCCGGATCATCCTCATCCTCCTCAGGGCTTCTGGCAAACATGCGACCACAAAGAACCGTGGTTGTTTTACTTCCCCACCCCTTGCATACCCCAAAGTACGGCACAATCCTTACGATGGACCCCAAGACAAATGTTCAGAACCTGTCAAGCCGAGGCCAACGAAAGCTCTGACAGCCTCACAGCGCACACGGTGCATATTGACTACTGACCACCCCTAAACCCTAAACCCTAAACCCGAAAACCTAAACCCTAAACAAGAAAAACCCCAAAGCCTAAACCCTAAACCCCAGCTCTGCCATCTTTCGTGATTGAGCGGTCCTCGACCACGTCGTCCTCTGGCTCCTCTTCAGGCTCCTCCTGCGTGATCTGGAGGCTGCCGAAACCAAAGGGTCCCTTTTGGTGCCCTGTAAAGGACCGTCTTTAGGGTTTAGGGTTTAGGGTTTAGGGTTTAGGGTTTAGGGTTTAGGGTTTAGGGTTTAGGGTTTAGGGTTTAGGGTTTAGGGTTTAGGGTTTAGGGTTACGAAGGGAGAGCCCCGTTCTGAAATATGCCTAGCTTGCCGCAACTTTTAGCCCCGAAACGTTCGGGGCTCCAGTTACAGGAAGTAGCTGAGGTGCCTTGAACCTGGATCAGCCCGAAAACCGCAAACCTGAACCCCCAACAACAAACATGTCCTCGGCTTCCTCCATGTCGAGATCGTTGACCTGGCCGTGCCGTTTTCTGAGAACCCCAAAATTTTGAACCCCGAGCCCTGTTATTCAGGTTTGAGGGACGTACTCTTCAGGCTCTTGGCATTTTTGCGCTTCCTTCCGGACATTTTTGCAGGAGGGCTTCCCCGAACCATCCCGACTTTAGGGTTTAGTGTTTAGGGTTTAGGGTTTAGGGTTTAGGGTTTAGGGTTTAGGGTTTAGGGTTTAGGGTTTAGGGTTTAGGGTTTAGGGTAGAGGGTTTAGGGTTTAGGGTTTAGGGTTTAGGGTTTAGGGTTTAGGGTTTACGGTTTAGGGTTTAGGGGTCTAACAAACGAAAGAACGTACACCGGCAACCCTTTTGCTTCATGGCAAAGATATCAGAAGTAGCTGGACTGCGGGGGCGTTCCCGCCCGTGTGCGTTGTTGTCACGATTTCTGACCTTGCGGTTTGAAGGCGGGGTGGGGTAAGGCCGTCATTCCTCTGGCGAGCATGGCCAAAACACCGGACCTTACAGGGGGTTTACCTCTCTGTACGACATACTGCACAAGGATGTGGAACAAGACACGCTGTCACAAGCGTTCATGCCTTTGCCTAGCATGCTCAAAACAGTGGTAACTACAACAGTGGTTTGATTCTTTGCACAATATGCTGCACAAGGATGTTTGACTTTTTCGGGACGAGACACGATTTCACGCGCGTTCATACCTTTGGCGAGCATGCGCACAACATTGGTATGTACAGCGTTGTTACCTCTCAGTACAACATACTGCACAGGGATTTTTTGCGTTTCTGGAACAAGACATGTTGTTACAAGCTTTCATGCCTGTCGTGAAAATGGTGCAAGAACTGGTGAAAAGCTACAAAGCAGTCTGTGAAGCCCCCCCTCCTCTTTCATGTCATCTCCCAAAATCGCTACGCCTGCCAAATTTCAAGCACTCAACCTAGTCCCTCCAGTACCACCAGCGGGAATGCCCCGCGTACCTAGTAGTTGGATTCATGAGTGAACGACCGTTACTGACTGATGAAATCTGCTTGCAGGCCTCTAAACCCTAAACCCTAAACCCTAAACCCTAAGCCCTAAGCCCTCAGATTTTAAGAGAAACCCGGCGCCCCTCCGCCTCTGCGCCGGCATCTCCCAGCAGCACGTCCATAGTGCGCTTGAGAGCTGCCTCCGCCACGCCAGGTTTTGAGAGTGGTTTAGGGTTTAGGGTTTAGGGTTTAGGGTTTAGGGTTTAGGGTTTAGGGTTTCGGGGTTTAGGGTTGAAGGGTTTAGGGATGGAGGGTTTCGGGCTGTGGGTTCAGGACGGTACTACATGATGACATCCTTCGTAGCAGCACTGAAAGCATATAAAGTAGTCCTTGCGCTGCTCTTTTTAGATGCGGGTAGTTCTCTGAATT